TTCTAGTCTGAGGTCTTTTTTTTTTTTTTTAGTTTGAGAAATTTGGGCTTGATTTTTTTTCTTAAAAGGCTCAATATATCTGGTTGCTTCCTGTGCATTAATATAGCTCAAAATCAAATGTTTTCAAATACAGACTAAGCATTTTTAATAATTTAAAAATAAAAATGTACAGTAGTCAGACTACAGGAAGTTCTATTGTTAGCACTGAATGCTCTCGTTAGATTAGGGTAAGGCCAAGGGAACTCCAGAAGGCGATGGTAGGAAACAATTCTACATCTTCACCTGGGGCCAGGACACTAGTGTCACTCCCAGTTGTTACTCCCTCCTCAAAATGAGAATAATCTTCATAGCCCCTATACTAGTCCCCCCACACGTGCGCACGTGTACACACACACACACACACACACACACACACACACACACACACACGGTCAGTGGCATTAGACCCACTTGTCCATCACTGGCTGTTCCACCCTTAAAAATGCCACTACGCTTGAGAGGCTGATTTTGCTCCCATTGAAGTCAAAACTCCCACAGGCCACAATGATGCACATGGAGTTACTAGAGAGCTGAGTTCTGCAGAGTAGGGATGTGAACAGGTTACCAGGTGATGCTTACTGGGTACCAGTTAACTGGTAGCCAGGAGCAGTCCCCCTCCTTTGACCTATCATGGGCAGAGGGCTGCTCCAGTCCCACAGGGGTTGGGAGCTAGCCACCCCCCATGCAGGGAGGCCGGGAGCAGGAGAACCCCGGCCGGCCAGTGACTTCCAAGTTCAAGGGCAAGGGGGAGTGGGATCCCTCTTAATCGGTTAACCAATTAACCAAGATTTTACATCCCTACTACAGAGCATGGTGAAAGTATATGTCCTCTGTGCAATTTCCTGATATCCCCATTTCCCATGAAATGTGATCATAGGCATCCTACTTTAGACAGGTCCCTCAGTCCCTAGGAAGCGAAGAAATGTGTTGCATATTAATAGTAATTCTGTGGCAGTTACATAGGACAGTTAATTATAATGCTAATTACAGCTTTGCACTCAGATATTCTGGTTGTATGAGTCAATTACCTGTAGGTTAAAACTATAAATACCTATTTTGCCCCCAACGTGGACTCTGTGGTATATACTTTTTAAAAAATGCCTAAATACATATTTATCTGAATGTATTCCAGTTACTCATATAAATATGTTTGGAGTTATGGTCTCTGAATAAATAATTCATATTTTATAACCTTGCATGCAAGAAATACTCTTCTGTTTTGCCTTTTTTTTAAATTGAAGAAATGAAATACAGAGCTTCATTGTGCTTTCACTAAAGTAAGGAGGTGCACCAGCCATCAAGAGCAAGAAAATTCAGGGATGTGGCTCCTATTGTGTTGGTATGAACAAGTGTTCCCTGTAAGCTGTGTGCTTGGTAGATGCTTAGGAGCAATTCAGATGATGCACAGCTGATTAGTAGAGTGCCCACAGTTGGCAGCATGTGTTTCTATGGGTGGTACACATCTGCACCTGCTTTGGTGCACGTGACAAAACTTATTCTGCACACGGATGGAAAAAAATAGAGAAAATATTGATATGAACGAAGGACATTAAGACAGATTTTGATCTTACTTATTCCAGTGTAAACCTAGAATAATTCTGCTGAAATCAGTACAGGCAGTCCCCGGGTTACGTACAAGATAGGGACTGTAGGTTTGTTCTTAAGTTGAATCTGTATGTAAGTCGGAACTGGCGTCCAGATTCAGCCGCTGCTGAAAAATAGAGAAAATATTGATATGAACGAAGGACATTAAGACAGATTTTGATCTTACTTATTCCAGTGTAAACCTAGAATAATTCTGCTGAAATCAGTACAGGCAGTCCCCGGGTTACGTACAAGATAGGGACTGTAGGTTTGTTCTTAAGTTGAATCTGTATGTAAGTCGGAACTGGCGTCCAGATTCAGCCGCTGCTGAAACTGACCGCCAGTT